GGCATGGGGGGGGGGTAGCAGGGCAGGCGGGAGCTGGTGCTTTTGGGGAGCCCCCTGCCCCCCCCCACATAAACTTGTAACCACTGAAAACTTCAGTGGTTACACGTTTACCAAAATAAACACATTTTCACATCCCTAATCAAAATTTCCACATAGGAAATGAGGATAAATCTTGTGTTCCTTTCTTAACAGCATTTTTGCCCAAATAACATAGGATTGATCCTCAGCTATCACAGAAATTAATTGCACCTTTTTGATACAGGTTTGTCAGACAACAAAATAATTACAACTTATGGTACATGTCTGGGCTCCTGGTTAAAAAACCTGTTACAATACTCAAAGGAAATGCAAAATTCATAATAGGCAATCAGCAAGTCTTACATACCAAACTATGGATGTTAAAAAGCATTCTTTTTGTAAACGTGTAACCACTGAAATAGACATTAACACGCAGGGAGTGGCTCCATGGGAGCCGGTGCTCGTGGGTGAGTAGGGATGTTAAATATTGGTTAGTTGAATTGTCGATTGACCTCATGAATTCGTATCGGTTAGCTGACTCTTCTATAGTCACCAGGCAGCCCCTGTCTGGGGAGAAGGGGTCTGAGCTCCTGGACCCGGCATGAGCGGGAAGTGAGCCGGGCTGTCTGCCTGCCTGGCTCCTAACACACTTTAAATGCGGAGCCACAGGGGAATAGGTCCTGGACCCAATGCAAGAAAAATTTACTGGCAAGGGATGGGGGGCGGGAAATGCGTGTTGTCTTTGGCATTAACCTATATGCTTTTGCTTATCGGTTAATCGACGCTACTATTGCATCCCTAGTGGGGGGTTGCCTCCCTTCCTGCCCCTGCTCTGCTGCCTCTATCATCAGCAGTGGTTGGGGAGTGTCAGTTGGGAGTTGGTGCTCTTGCAGAGACACCTGTCCCCTGTCGCTGATATAGAGGCAGCAACATGGGGAGAGGGGCTTGCATGTTACCATGAAGGTTTTAAGCGAGTACAGTGTCACATCCCTAACTCTAACCACTAATCCCCATCTCCTAGGACTTTTTAAAAACTTCTCAGCAGCTCAAACAGCTGCCATTTCTCATTCAAGGAGTAGCCTGTTGGAGTATTGATTCCTCTTTAATCCCCCAAAGTGGAAATTTGTAGAGGTAAGAGGAACAGAAGAGGTGACATTCAGCACTGGATTTATGATAGGTCTGAACTAATTGCTATATTTGGCATTGAAAAGGAATTTTCTCCTGAGTCTCAGGGGGGGGGGGGGGGTTGCCTTTCTCTGCAGCATGTGTCACTGATTACTTGTGGGTTTAAATAGTATAAATGGTAAATTATCTGTAACTTGAAGTCTTTAAACCATGAATTTAGGACTTCAATAACACTGCCGGGGTAATATACTATATAAACGCATTGGAGAGAGTCCTGCGGAGGGCAAGAAAAATTATTAGGGGCCGAAGCTTACAAGGAGAGGCTGAGGGATTTGGGGCTTATTTAGTCTGCAGAAGAGTGGGGGGGGGGGGGGATTTGATAGCAGCCTTCAACTACCTGAAGGGGGGTTCCAAAGAGGATGGAGAGAGGTTGTTCTTAGGGATGACAGAGTGAGGCGCAATGGTCTCAATTTCCTAAATGGTCAGAGTTAGGACCACCAAATTTGGTATGCAGTGTCCTCTTATTAGGGATGTGAACAAAAAGTCGACTAGTTGATTAGCTGATAATCTAGTGGACTATTTGCATTCCCCCCCTTTGCTGCTTCTGCCTGAGCCCGCCATGGGCAGAGGCCACTTCGCAGCAGCCTCCCCTGTCCCCTTCCCCCCAGAAGCCTCTGTCCATGGGGAGCTCAGACCCCCTGCGGACAGGGACTGCTGCCACCCCACACTGCTGCCTCTATATTAGAGGCAGCATCATGAGGCAGTAGGCATCTGGTCCATGAGGGGAGCTGGTTTATAAACTGGCTCCCCTCACGGTCTGGCTCCCGCCTGGCACTCTGCAGTGCTGCATCTGATACAGAGGCAGCAGTGTGAGGCGGTAGGGGGCTTCCCAGGAGGGGAGCTAAGAATTCCTGCGGTTAGTCAGCTATTCTATTACCCGATATCTAACATCCCTACCTCTTATCATAACTTGAAGCAAGGGCAGGGTTTGGTTGTGCCAGGACAATGGGATGTGCCTGGAATGGGATTTTCTCATAAAATGGAAGGAGAGGAGACTGCTAGCAGGGACAGTTATCTGATATCTAAAGGAGAATGTGTGTATGTTTGTGCGCTAATCACTTGGACACTATAAGAGCTACTGCAACCAGACTTTGCACGGGGTAACCTTTCCTCCAGAAGCAGATTTTAAGGGACTGTGGGAGGGAAGAGATGAGAGACGGACCCTTTCCCCAGGGCTGCACGGACCTTGGCAGTGCAGGGAGAAGTGGCTTCCTGGGGGAAGCGGCAGGGACAGTCAACTCACTAAGGCCAGCGGCGGGACGAGGAAGCAGAGGACGGGCTCGGGCGCCAGCGGCAGGCGTGCAGCTCCCTTCCCCCTCCCTCTCTTCTCCTCAGTTATATCAACTGTCCCGAGCAATGCCGGGTAACTCCAGCTAGTACTATATAATGACCACAGGGGCCAGAGATGGGGACCAGAATAGCTATAACCCCACTGGGGCAGCAGGAGCAGGGGTAAAGAAAGGGACAGCTATGTACTATATATTTGAGAGAGTTTGCATATGTCTGTCTGTCCACTAGTAAGGCGACATGCACCCTTCCACTGGCTGTGCCCGCTGCAGTAGCCATGGACAGGTGCCTCTCACCTGGCTCCAAGGTGGTTTGGTGTCAGAAGGCAGGGGTTGTTCTCTCTCCCCAGGGTAGCAACGCTGGGTAAGTCATATTTAAGGGGCGGGTGAGGTTCTGCAGCCTGCAGTATGGAGGAGGTCAGACCTGCTGGCCATGATGATGACTTCTGACCTTAAAGTCTAGGAACCTAATAGCTCATGAAAAGATGGACTTAGGCACTTTGTTATTTGAAAGGTTCCTGAAAACTCCTGAGACATTAGATTTTAATACTATGCTATTATCTTGAGAGGGTCAAGTTTGGGTCACTTTTTTAGAGGATTCTTAAATTTATTACATGTTTTTTTCCTCTGTCTGTGTAGTTGGACTGAAGTTACTAAAGGACCTGGGCCTTACAGGTGAGGGGATGTGAAAAATAATCACGCTTTTTAAAAACTGTAAAATATTTCTAAACTAAGTGGCATCTGCAGCATAAATGATAGTGCTGTTTGGCATAACGACTTTATTGGCACTCATTTGGGGAGCTCTGAATAACTCACCCATGACTTAGCTTCTTGTGAATTGTGTGGCCATCGCTAGCTCATTGATAGCATCTGTGCATCTAATTACCATTGATAAAGTACTTGACATCACTCCATGCTGTGCTCTTATTCCCTCTCTTGTTTTCACTCCTGGTACATGTTGATATAATGGTATGCCATCCAAAGGACCCGAGTGATGAGTTGGATTTCTAGTGCATATGTCTTTTATTTTAAAGGTTAATGGTGACTCCTGAAAACTTTACATATGCAAATAATCCACACTACTTGTGGATGAGGATAATAGGACCAAGCCATTTCATTGGATGAGGCACTTTTAGGAAACGAGGGTGATGATGCCGGCCTGCTGCCCAGTTAAACAATTGTTAGATTGAAAGGATGAGTATGGAATTAATACTGACCAGTAGGGATGTTAGTATGGAGATGATTACATGATTAACTGATAAGCCTGGGCTTATCAGTTAATCATATCGACTAAATGCAACCTCTCCTTGCTGCCTCTGTTACATGTTTGCACGTGGGGGAGAAGCGGCTCCCAGGAGCCAGTGTACACGGGGAACCAGCTTAAACTATCAGAGGCAGTGGAGAGTGGGGAGGTGGCTCTGCAGGAGCCAGTACGCATGGGGAGCCGACATACATCAAAGGCAGCAGTGTGGGGAAAGTGGTTCCTCAGGAGCTGGTACATGCGGGGAGCCAGCTTAAAAGCCAGCTCCCTGTGTGTACTGACTGGTTCCTGCCTGTACCCCTGTGCTGCTGCCACTGTATTCCTTGCAGTGCAAGGGAGCGGGGGTGTGAAGGATAACTGATGAGCCCTGGCTCATTGATTAACCATGTACACGTTTACATTTTCACATTCCTAGGTAAAAGCAGACACCCACTTAAAGCAGATACCCAGGCTAATACAGATACTGAGTTGAAAACACTTTAACAAGTGGAACTGCTCTTACAATTGAAAACTTAAACAGAACCCATTGTACAAAAACTTGATTACAAATAAACTTAAATGCACAAAACTGTGCAGGTATCACCGCTCCATCCATCTAAAAATGATCTTCCCCATTCCTGGGTCCAAATCACATTTTTCTGTGTACCTGCTGCCCTTCGCTTGAGCGCTCTGTCTGTGCAGTTTGACACTTCAGTGCCACGATTCAGCTTGTTTTACATTCTCTGGTCTCATCTACTCCCGTTGCAGTCCATGGCAAAAGTCTTAGGGTATGTCTACACTAGCTCGGTAGTTCGAGCTAGGTAGGCAAATGAGGTCAACCGGAGTTGCAAATGAAGCCCGGGATTTAAATATCCCGGGCTTCATTTGCATCTTCCCGGTGCTGCCATTTTTAAATCCTCCTTAGTCCACACTCCGTGCCTGCAGCTACACGCAGCATGGAGTAGGTAGGTCGAATTAGGATCTCTAATTCAAACTACCGGTACTCCTCGTTCCACAAGAAGTACCGGTAGTTCGAATTAGGGTCTCTAATTCGAACTACCTACTCTGTGCCGCGTGTAGCCGCGGGCACGGAGTGCGGACTAAGGGGGATTTAAAAATGGCGGTGCCCGGGAAGATGCAAATGAAGCCCGGGATATTTAAATCCCGGGCTTCATTTGCAACTACGGTTGCCCTCATTTGCCTACCTAGCTCGAACTACCGAGCTAGTGTAGACATACCCTTACTGACTTCAATGTCAGTATAATGTGGAGTTCAGAGCTGTGTGTATAATACCTTGCATGAATTGCTGTGCTACATTCTGAAAGAGGAGGGAAGTGAAATTCAACTGCTAAGCAAATACTAATCCAGTAATTGTGACTTGTCTACCGATAATTACCAGTGCTTTTATGTTGTTTTACTCCAGCTGATTGGTTTGTGTATGTTGTTGTTGTTGTTGTGTTTTTTTTTTTTGCCTTTTGTCTAGAACATGCATACTGGTGAGTTGCTGTCTTTTGTGCTCTACTTCTGACTTGTCCTTTGTGTGCTAGGAAATTAACACATTGCTGATAAACTATCAGTATGGAGTCTCCCCGACCCAGCATCGATGAAGTAATGGGAAGGAAACTGTTTGCAGTACCCGTGTATAGTTGAGACCTGATTCCACCAAATCAGGCAGTGGAAATTTCACTGGTTTGTGAAACCAACCAGATAATCAGTGCTTCCTTGTTCCCACATCCTGCTGGCAGCCGTTATGGATGGAAAGCTCACACCTGTCCTCTCTCTTTCAGAGTGAATGAGGCAGAAAATGTAGCAGGGTCTCAGATCTTCTTTGTGTTAAGCAGGGTTGTTGATGTCTCAATCAGAGAACAGTTACATTGGTCTGGACAGACCAATGCTGCTACCTTTGCAAATTACTGGTAAATCAGTTACACCAGGTAACGTGCACAAAGGGCCATCGCATGTATTACAGCAAATAGTATGGAAAGTTGCATCATTTAGAACAAAAACGACCTTTTCTAGAATGTTTTAACATTTACTCTACACTCTTCACTTAAGTTTTAAAGCAAGTGGGAGATCATTTGGATCCATATTTCATAGTGTAAACCTGGCCAGCCTTGAAAACAGTGATATGTCTGAAGACAAACTGAATCTCAAGTTTCGCTGTCTGACAGGAGAATGTATGTTTGCCACTTTTTTTTTTTTAAATATCCAAATTGAGATTTTAACGCTTTCACTGCTTTTCACTGTTTGTGTGTTTGTGAAGTCCCTCTTGTAAGGACAGACATCTGCTCTGATCTGGCCAGCGCTTCAAATTCGGTGCCCCACGTTGCAGTGTGTCTGTGTGAGGCTGAAGTTGAATAATCTTACTAAGCAGTAGTTCTGTCCCATGTTACACTTCAAGTCAAGTGTGTATACTCAAGCAAAAACTTCATGTAGTGAACATTAAGGTAGTATCAGGACACACCCTATCTAATCAAAACCTTGAAAGCATGTGTGACAGACCGGGCCGGGTCTGGGTACAGCTGAGGGCATCCGCTCAGTGCAAATTGCTCAAACTCCGGGCTCCTTACAGCCCCAGACTAGAGACCTTCCCAAATAGGCCACAAACCAGTTACACCAAGCGCTTCAGCTTACAATCTGGCCAGCCAGAAGCCTCATGAGCAAAACCTCTCTGACATCCCAGCCCTCCCTGTGCCCTAATCAGCCCCGGGCCTAACACACAGGTGAGGGGTTATAGAACCCAACCTCACCTACCCTGAACGGGTTCTCCTGGTCCCAAGAAACCAGCCACTGGTCCCAATTAATTTACACTCTGGATCTTACCCACAAGATCACTCTGAGCCAATCCTTTAGAATCTAAAATCTAAAGGTTTATTACTAAAAGAAAGAAAAGCAAGAGAGTAAGGTTTTTAAAGAATAATACATTACATGCATCGAATCACCCAGTTCTCGATACAGGCTCTTAGCAGAGATGTTACAAACTGCTCTCTTAAAAGTCTCTGGTTACATCCGATGTCAGGATGGGTCCACGGTTCTTCCCAGCTCGTTGTTCCCTGCAAGGCTGCATCTGGGATCAGAAGCTAAACTGAAGATGAGACGGAGGGTGCCACATGGCACTTATATCCCTCTCCTGGCATCTTCCTGGCCAGAGCAGGTCACTGCAGGTCAAATGGTCCATTGACCTATCCTTGTGTCCCAAGTCAGTAACCATTATTCTGGCTGGTCTGCAGGCATCCAGATTCATTCCCCAGGTGTGTCTTTGGCATTTAGAGATCTATTGTCCCTGGAGCCTCGCTCATCAGCATAGCCATTGAACAAACATTCTTGGCACATTGCTCTGCCTCAGACAGAAAGTTTTCCAGCATCAACGCAGAGGACATATTTATAACTCCACATATAGATATTATACAAGTACATGAATAGCCTATACGGAATCAGTAGAACATAAGATTTCATGTGACACCTCACATGACCCTCTTTGTATAGACTTTTGGGGCAACCCACCCCCCCCATGGGTGCAACAGTGATCTTTAGAATCCGATAATGTGACCGCATTCAAATAAGAAATTTAAGAAATGTCTTGGCTTCTGTGACATTTTACATTGCCTACAGGGCTGTTGGTAACACACTCCAGCATAAAGCATTCACTTCCCTCTTCTAAAAGTAGTATGTGCCCCAGCTTCATCCAGCTGTCTCTCTGCTACAGAGCCTTAGCAGTGGGTTGGTATGCTCTGGTGTCTGCAGATTGATGCACCTAACTGTCTCTCCTTCTGTGTAGTTGGGAAGTTAATATGCATTAAGGTTTTGGAGGTTGCTGGTAGGTTTCATGACCTTACTTGGGATGGGATGCTGGAGCAGCCTCTGTCTGCAGGGAGCTCGGTCCTCTCCCCCCAACCTGGGGACAGGGGCAGCAGGTAGGACCTGATCGTTCTTCTATTTAATCTTAGATATTTCCAGTAGGCATCTTAGATGGTAAACGGGGGTCTCCTGGCATCTGGCTACTGTCCCTAGATGGGAATTCTTTGTGTTTGGTTAAAACTTTTCTCACCTTGAGTGGAAGAGTGTAATATCCAAGATGGGCATCAGGTGTCCTGGCCACTTGTCCTGGCAGGACCAACCACAACCCAGGCTGACAGGAAAAAACAATACTATTTACAAGGAATGTGAATGTATACTTGTGTACACAGTTAACCGATGAGCCTGAGCTCATCGGTTAAGCCGGACGGTTACGTGCAACCTCCTCCCCACCCCCCCACTGTTGGCTCTTAAAAGCCGGCTCCACATGAGAACCACCTCCTGCCTCTTCCACCCCAATCCTGCTGTGGGTACACGTGTAGCTGCTGAAAATTCTGCGGTTACACGTTTATAAAAATAAAAACATTTTAACGTCCCTGCTATTTACAGATCATTAATTTGAGTACCAAGCCATTATGTGTTTGGAGTATTACTAATGGCCCTCATTAGTGTATCTAGATTTGTCAGCAGACTCACAGGAGGGATGTAAAATCTCATTTAATTAGTTAACTGGTTAAATGTTAAGTTTAACTGGTTAACAAACGGGGGTGGGTGTTTACCCTTCATATTTCTAACTTCACATAAAAGAATGATACATGCACAGAAATAGAGGTTACGCATTCAGCAGATTTTAACTTTAAAATATGTCACATGATGCATTTTGCCTAATGCATCTTCGAGTTGTGCATATTCATAGTCACAAGCCAATTTTCATAAGCATGAGGGAGCCCATGACTAAAATTTGCAGGTAAATTGCACCTTTTTAGAACCTGCTTGGCTGTCTTTGTGAGAGCAGGATCAGGCTAGGAAAGCACTCCTGTCAAATTTTGAGAATGGTACAGATTGCTGCCACCTCACAGAACCCTTGTGCTTTATGGCAGGGGGATGTGAAGTCTGCAGGATTTGTGAATCTGAGAGAGAATATCTGCTTCCCTCCACTGAATAATCACAAAGCCTCTGCTCAGGGAACTGCTGCTCGAATTTGACAGGTTTATCAGTCATGGCCCTATGTCAGATTTCCCTTTGTGGAGAAGGTAGTTGAGAACAGCTCTGGTCCCTGGATTTTCTCCACACACCATCCCTGCCAATCTGGTCTCCAGGTGCACAGCCCCAGTAAGACCAAAAGCCCAAATAAATCCATCTCGCTATGCATAAAGTTTATACTGAGTAAGTTCATGAGCTGTGCGCCCCCTTTATCAATGAAAGAAAGCTGCACAGCTGTTGTTCCTCTCCCTCTGTAACACATTATCCACGCTGGATTTGAAATAAACAAAAGTTATTTTATTAAGTATAAAAAGTAGGATTTAAGTCAGGGGTGGGCAATAATTTTTGATGGGGGAGTCACTCCTAGAATATGGAAAGTGGTCAAGGGCCGCACTCTTCCATTATATTAATGGAGGAGGTGCGGGGGTCTGGGATGGAGGTTGGGTGCAGAAGGGAGCTTGGGGTAAGAGCAGGAGTTTGGGTGAAGGAGGCAGTTGTGACCTAGGGCACTGGACTGGTGTGCAGGAGGTTGGATTGTGACATAGGGCAGGGAATTGGGACTGTGATCTGGGGCAGAGGATTGGGGTGCCAGATCTGGGAGGGGATATGGGTGCAGAAGTGGGGCAGAGGATTTGTGTATATGGAATGGGGGGCAGAGGGTTGGGGAAGGGAGCGGCTAGGGTGCAGGGTCTGGCCAGGAGACTTATTGCCAGCAGCCAGTTCCTGAGACCCTGCCAATGAGTGTTCCCTCTAAGCTGCATGCCAGCACAGCTTCAGAGGTGATTAATCAGCCCTACCCAGTCAGTCAGCACTGCACACGGAGCCCTGAGTCTGACTGGGTGGGGCTGATTAATCACCTGTGAAGCTATGCTGCCATGCACCTTAGAGGGAACACTGCTGCCTGCCCAGCCCCCGCACAGGCTGGAGCCTTGTGCTCTGGAGCCCCTTGTGCTTTGTGGCTGCCTGTTATTGAAACAGGCAATTCCCATTGGCTGGTTTCTGGCCAGAAACTGCCCAATGGGATTGTGCTCGGGGTGGGAGAGCAGCTCCAAAATCTTTCCCCCTTCCCTTTAAGCTGCATGCCAGCACAGCTTCAGAGGTGATTAATCAGCCCTACCCAGTCAGTCAGCACTGCACACGGAGCCCTGAGTCTGACTGGGTGGGGCTGATTAATCACCTGTGAAGCTATGCTGCCATGCACCTTAGAGGGAACACTGCTGCCTGCCCAGCCCCCGCACAGGCTGACCAGCAATGCAGCAGGGGCGAAGGAGCAAGGGAGCAGGAACTAAGTGGCTGTGAGGAAAGGGATCAGCAGGTATCCTGTAACACCCTGTCAGTTTTGCTCCCTGCTCTGGGCACAGTCTGTGCAGCAGTGAGGAGCAGCTAGAACAGCTACCATAGGAGATTGTGGGGACATTTTGGGACTGGCTTCCAATCACTGCCCTCACAGTCCCGGTAGTTCGAAATAAAGCCCTAGTTTGAACTACCTGTTAAACCTCATTCCAGGAGGAACAACAGGTAGTTCGAACTAAGGCTTTATTTCGAACTACCGGGTCCCTGCCGCATGTAGATACGGGCAGTTAGTCCGGACTTGTAAATTTCAAAAATGTCGACCAGCCGGGAAGATGCAAATCAAGCCCGGGATATTTAAATCCCGGGCTTGATTTGCAACTTCGAATGCCTACATTAGCCTCCCTAGTTCAAACTAGGGGGATAGTGTAGATATACCCTAAGTTACTAAGCACAATAAAACACACCAGCTAAGCCTAATACATGAAGAGAAGTGGTTACAAATCATAATTTCTCACCTTAGTTCTTATTTCAGGTGAAGTCTTTCTCACTGACCTGGGTCCAGCAGCTCATCTCCGTCCCTGTCCTTAGAGTTCTTTTGCTTCCAGGCCTTTTCATGTGTCCTGTTGGGGTGGGGAGTAGTCTGGGAAGCCAGCTGAAGACAATCATTGTTTGCTTCCCATTCCTTACATAAAATTTCTCCAAGGTGGGTTGTCTTTGTACAGTTTCCCCCTCCCCGGTGGAAAAAGAACAACATTTCTTTTTTTGACAGCACAGGTACTCCAAGAGTGTGTCTAAGTTTTGCAGCTTTCAATATTTTTTAAAGTTTTGACAGATAATATTGATTATTTTAAAGCAGTTTCCCCTATTTATTAATTTAAAGGTTCACAGCTACAGCAAATTGAGACCAGTAATGGGGAAGTCAGTTACTGAATGAAAGTAGTTGAGATTAAAAAAGCGAAAGCTTTAAACCAGTAAAACACACATACTTTACATCACATGTCAAAATATACAAAGTACATGTCCTTAAACTCTACATTCTCATTCACCATTTTTATCTGTCTTTAAATTCCATTATTATTGTTGGAAATATTATTTTTATCTCTTGGACTGCATACAGGGAAATTGCCGCTTACACACATTTATTCATAAAAATCTATTCCTTGCAAAGCTCATTTATATAATATTTTAAAGTCTTGTTTATAGGTTGTATGGGATCTAAAGTCTCATGATTTAATACAGGCAGTCCCCGAGTTACGAACGGGGATTTCTCACCCCGGAGGACTCGAGCGGCGGGACGCCTGGTCCCGCTGCCCGCCTTCTCCAGGGCGAGAAAAGCTGCTCCCTGTCTCCCTGGTCTGCTGGCGGAGCCAGCAGACCAGGGAGACGGGAGCAAAGCGGCGGAGCACCCGGGGCCGGACCCGCGCCGCTTCCAGATCAGCTGGAAGCGCCACGGTTCGGCCCGGGTCCTCCGGAGCCTTGCTCCACGTCTCC